AACACTGACGACATTGTGAACCCAGCTGAGTTGGTGCGACATCTCGTGCCGAATAACGATGCAATGCCTAAGCAATGCGTACGCTGTGAACGTCCTTTTCGTGTCACAAGCTCTGGCGTATATGTAACTCGAGAAAAATGCACTTTCCATTGGGGTAAACTGTATAAAGTAAATACTCGGAATAACAAATACAATATACAATACACTTGTTGTCTGGGCTCCAGAGAATCAGTGGGTTGTGCGACTAATCCTTTGCACGTGTGGACCGGCGTTGTTTCCGGCATTAATGGACCGTATGGCGATTTCGTGCACACGCGCAAGCTTACCGACGAGCCCAAGGTGTACGCATTGGACTGTGAAATGTCCTATAGTGGATGTGGACTGGCATTGACCAAGATTACCGTGATTGGCTTTGATGGACAATTAGTCTATGAGCACTTTGTGCGTCCTATTGCTGAAATTATCGACAACAATTCGCGTTTCTCTGGAACTAAAAGAGATGTATCCAAATCGAATAAGCGAGTTAAGGGACTCGGCGAGGTGCAACGTGATTTGCTTCAGATAATCGATGCCAACACTATACTTATCGGTCATGGTTTGGAAAATGATTTAAGAGTGCTACACATTGTTCACAAGACAGTTATCGATACTTCAATAGTATTTCCACATTACAACGGTTTTCCGTATCGACACTCGCTTAAGCATCTGACGAAAACATATTTGAAACGTAAGATTCAATTAGATGGCCAGAGTCACGATAGTTTGGAGGATGCTCGCGCGTGTTTGGAACTGATGTTGTGGAAGGTGGCCACTGACAAGCAGAATTGCTGAAAAGTGTACCTCGATTGTAATAGCTAGGAGTACTCTAGGAGTACGTTTGGTACTCCCTTGTAACAACGCTGTGGTGGCGTGGCTCTTCCTAACGAAGCATTATCTACGTTGAATTTCTTATAGTCCTGAGAGCATTTCATGCTTCGCTATTCTATGCTTCTGCGTCATGTCACTTCACATTCCAAAGGTGTCTTACCATGGACTTTTTCCTTCCATCCTCCTTCTAAAACTACTCCATCACAGTTCAAAAAAATTTCCAAAAGTTTCGTTTCGTGTCTGTATTTGGTTACGATTGATTTAAAATATTATATTTGGGCTTACTCGAACGTTGGTATTAATGAATGTGAGAGATGCTCATGTGCAATCATATAGAAGCTGTTCCTTATTAATTGTGTATCGCTTAGGGCCGATTGTTGAATTTTTTCTCTAGTCTTTGTTGTTAGAACCAATTTTTTACTTGTTTATAATTTAATGTTTAAAGATTGGTATTTAGAAAGATTAAGATTCTTAAGTGAGAAGTGCAATTACTTTGAATATCTAAACATCAAAATTTAATAAACATATTAAAAAAAATTCTTGGAAATTTTTTAATTATTGTTACATACAAATATTATTATTTTTGTAGGTAAAAGTTGTAATTGAAATGAAATTGAAAAGACAAATAAGTTGGGTAATGTTAGGTCTATGAGTTCCTATTAAATATAAAACAGAATTAATTGAATCAAAAGCTGTGAAACACTGGATTTTTGGAAGTTTATGTTTTTACCCTGAAACAGGTTATATGTGGACACTCAAATCACATCACTTCGGTTCAATTAATGGTTGTAGGCTTGTGTACCGACACGGAGGCAGAGGCTTGGGTATACAGTATATAATATGTAACAATTTCCTCTGCTAATACTACAACATTTCGGCAATCAGGTTTTCGACTTTCCACTCATAGATAAAAATTTAGAGAAATTTCTAGTTTACTTTGTATATAACCAAGATCTTGAAATATAAACACTTTTTTCAGCAGGCACGAAAGAGTTTCTGTAATATATTAATATACTTAAGAAGTATACATAAGATGCGAGTGAATTGTTCAAGTTTAGAAATACAAATAACCAAATTTTAGAGAAATATTATGAATAGGGCTTCAGTTGGTATATGCAAATTCACTTTACTCGGAATATTCGAGAGAACGTATTCGCCGCAAGGTCGTTGGAGCGCGTCGATAAGCGTTTAATATCAGAGAAGATGGAACCACGAACCTATGAGCTCTTGGCAAAATGGGATAGTAGATAGTTTAGGCGCATAAAAATTCACGACGAATGCCGCTGGGTGAGACTATGTCGTTCGATGAAAGATGGTGGTCCCCAGCGAAAAGCTTTTTGATTTTGAGACGCCATATGTAGGCAATGGAAGCCAGAGCGCCCCACGCATCCAAATCGATAGGATCAAGTGCATAGCACCAAGTCCTGCACCTGGCGGTCACCTCGCACAGGTATAGATAACGTTTTTGCGAAAACTTGACTTCTTGATAAATTGAGTTTTTATACTGAACGCAGATGGCGTTAGAGTTTTTGGTAGTATCAGCATTATTATGATTCCCGAGATGCTTTTTATGTTCGAAATCTTCTTATAGTTGTGCAACTTTTGCTCCATTTCCTTTTCTTAAAAGCTTTTCTACTCTTCCTGTTTTCCTAAGTTCTTCTTCTTTCTTGAATCGAGTTTCGCTTGTTGTTTCAATAACTCTTCATTTGTTTCGTAATTTCTTCTGTTGAAGTTATTAGCTCATTTGCTTTCAATTTAAATTATTCTTGTTTTAGCTTTAAGAGACCCGTGTTGCTTTAAGGGACAAAGATGCCTGCTCTTATTGAATCCAGTCAACTTAGATCAGGTTTCCAAAAGATTTGGTAATGGCTGTTTATTTTCAAATCCACTTTTTGGACTGCCTCAAGTTGGTTCTATTAAAAGTGTCTCGAAATATCCATGTTTTAAGTTTTTAGTTTATGAAATTGTTTAATGTTTCTTAAATAGTTGTTATTTGTGGTTTTGGAAACAACTAGTTTTTAATATAAATTTAATTCTCGATGGAGTTATTAGTAGCAGATTTTATATAGTTTTTAATTTTTAATTTGCTTTAGAAGAATGCCTATGCTACCAAAGTAACGATAGCTAGAGTTTCGAAGAGGATTCTCGCTTCTTTTTATAAGGTGAATTCTCAGTCAACTTGGCTCACGATGCTTGGACGCACAGGTGGACCGAAGTGATTGAGGTAATTTATCTACGTTTCGGCTTCTCATGTTTATTTAATTTTCGATTTCCTTACTTCGCCGTGGTCGCTACCTGATTATGAATTGGAAAAAAGTTTGATTTTTGTATTGTGGCTGTGGAAACAATGGCGTTCAGTTTTTCGCTGTAAATCTGTCACTTTTTATCGACCAAACTTAAAGTTTCTCTTAAAATATTTTCACTAGTTTCCACATCTGCTATATATCGATTCCGTCAGGTTAAAAAAGCTCTCAAACTAATGCAAATAAATGCTTTGTTCTATCTGGCAGTCGACTTAGCCTGCATTCGCATGTTTTTGAGTCTGTTTAATTTTTTAAGTATCAGAAGTTTAAAACTTTTGTTTTGATGAGATTTTTGTTTGTGTTACCTGTTGCATTCTAATTGATAGTGTCAAGGGGGGGGGTTTTCCCGATTGATTCAAAATGTTTTGCCACTGAAATTTTTTTGTGAGTTGGTAAATAGAACACATAACGAATTGTTTAAATGACCAACTGATTGAAGCAGTAGAAACTTATCTCGGAAACCTTTTATCTAATAATATTCATATACAAGTTATGTATATTAAGACAATGCGCAAAAAAGAGCGTATGCGGCTCTTATATAGGAGGTATATCTAATGCTAAACATTCGGAATTAACAAAAACGTACCCTCGTTTACCTTGACCTCGAAAATTCTTAGAAATGGTATTTTGACCTTTTTTGCGGAGTTCAAAGGACCTCGCTAATTATACCTGCTGCAGTTGTTAGTAAAGAATCTCCAAGATATGATGAAGCTTGAAGAGAACTGCTTCGTCGCATCCTGACAAAGTAGAGTCTAAAATAAAACCTAACAAGATTTTAGTTTTATAATCCTTAGTGCTTAAGCTGTATTTCTCACAAATTTGACTGTATGAAGATCTTTATAATTTTCTTCCATTTCACAAAGCCATTGGAAATCTAAAGCTTCAATGCAACAAACGTTTTGGAGAGCTGGTCCGAGGGTATATGAAACGCGTTTACAGTACAGGCCAGCGTGTCAGCATGATGCAAAGGAATATACTGATTCCCAAAAACAGAGAAAACCACACTAAAAACTAAGCTTTTAAAAACGCGAAGAGGAGGAATCTGAGAGATCCGAGGTAGGATGAAAAGAGCAGTAAAAAGGTCTTTGCATCGCAAGTATTGCAAAATTGAGCTTATAGATTCTTTACGAAAATCATCAACTGGTGGAGGAGGTTAGGGGCGAAGCACTCATTGAAAAAAATTGAAGAGGAGAATAATTAAAACGAAAGAGCTTAGGAAAGAAGAAGATACTGCAGCAGCGACAACTCGAAGAGGAACTGAAATCCAAAGAGTCATGGTACCAAAGGCGTCACTAGATAGAAAAGTTGAGAAATCATAGGAGTTATTATTAAATTGTACGCGAGGAAATTAAGAATAACAACAAAAGAATTCAAAACCAAATCCGAACACCAAAAACCAGACGATTTAAAAAGAGAGAAACTGAAGTTGTTGAGGCAAGAGACACGTGCTGAGCAGGAAAGTAGAGTTCGAAGGACGGGTTAAGTGATGACAGGTGAAATATAAAAAATGATATTGTGCAGTTCATTCCAGTTTTGTCGGAAGCTGAGTTTTGGGCCAAGCATTTACGACGTCACATAATCGGAACAAAAACTTTTGCGGTGCCATGGTTTACCTCAGTCGAGAATGGCTAAATCGACTCAGCTTTTGTCATTGCTGATGTCATTATATATATTTTTATAGGATTTCCCGACATTTCGCTTCTGGATATTACCAATGTTCCTGGAAAACTTAAAATATCCGCTGCTGGTTTCAGTGTATAGGAAAGAAAGCTATTTAGCATTACAAACCTTGGTACTAATTTTTTGAGATTTGTCATGGAGAATAAGAAAGCCATCGATTTAATGTTAAGTAGTTTTTTAGAAAATACAATAATCATGAGTATTGAAAGGGTGTGATTTCATATATATTACTTGATAATTAGTTGTATTGTTGTAGTTTAGCACTTCATGAAGTCGAGCCTCAGGTAATTATCGTTTGTTGAGAGCTCTGCCTGGTAGGTACTCTAAAGTCGAATAATCGAAGTGGCCAAAGAGATTGCAACAACGAGTTGAATAACAATGTTTCTACTGACTGATGAAAAAAGATTTTTTAACAGAGTATATAAGTGGCTGTTTATCCTTTTCTGGTAGCATAGGTTTCGAATAAGACGTTGAACGCTACACACTTCTTTTAGATAATAGAATTTAATTATCGGGGTTTTAAAAAAATGAGTCAACGACAACTGCAGTCAGTCTTATCTCAATCAGATCATTCACGAACATTAGACATCTATTCACCTAGTATCATCAGACCACTGCACGTGCAGCAGGTTATAGTAAGACATTTGTTTAAGGAAAAACACGAAGCTTGTTGCATAACGCTCTCGCATGACTTAAAACACTGGTACGAAATGAAATTCGTATCTTTAAATCTAACAACTAGCGGTGTTTTTACTTTACAGTTTCTGATCACATTCTGTGATCTTGAGCCAAAACCTTGGATAATCGCGCCTTTAATTTTTGTTAAGGGTAATCGGTGCGGCAGAAACGATTTGCCTAGCTGTGAGAAAAAGCAACTGCAATCAGCTGATAGAGCTGAAAGAGAGTAGACAAGCAGACTGAGAGATCAAAAAATGAAAACAAAAGTTTGAGAAAAGGAGGGGGGGGGGGGGGGGGGGGGGGGGGAAAAGCAATAAAAAACTAGAGCATAACAGCTCAAACAGCAACTAGAACTTAAAGATAAAAGTTTTCTGCAGAACAAGAAACGTCAAGGAATCGTTGAAACAACACGCGAATTTGAGAAAAGCAACAACAACGAGAGAAAAAACAGCATCAACAGGAATTAAAAAGAAAACAATGAGCACAAACTGAGCAACAACCACATTACTAGAACAGCTTGGAAGAGGACAACTTGGCTTAAGCAACCAAGTTATTATTTAGAGGTCATATCTTGATAAAATCTGTATGATATTAAAAGGTATGTCGTTCACACCTTTTTTTAAATTGCAAAAAAAGTTTTGCCAAGCTTAATTTGTCGGAGGCCGATTTTGTTAAACATTTACATCGGTATATTATGGAACCGGGTTTTATTACGTCTCTGATGGTTACCCACGGAGAGCAGCACTCACAGAGATTGCAAGATCCGGAGGGTAAAAATTTTTTTAAGTATATACCTTACATCAGTTTTTGGCGCCTTACGAGAAGAACATCAAGCGAATCGGATAGCAGTAGCAGTACAACTCTTCATGG